CAATGCAACCCTTACACACAAAGACAATGCATCCTTTGCACACATACACAGAAACAGACAATGCAAACCCGTACACACGCATGCAAACACACACACTTCTTTTCTTACATACACACAGAAACACAATGCATCTCATGCACACACATACAGACACACACCTTACATCCCTTATGCATACAAACACAGATTCACACAATGCATCCCTTACACACAACCAGAAACACATAATACATCCCTTATACACAAATACACACTGCTTCCACTACACACAAACACACTGCATCACCTGCACAAACTGGTAACCCTAAACACTACATACCACAAGCACACATATTAGATCCTCTACAATAACACATAACACATCCCCTACACAAACTGGTAACCCTAAACACTACATACCATAAGCACACATGATAGATCCTCACAACTAACACATAACACATCCCTACACACTCCACTCCCTGTGAGCGAACTCATGGGTGGGTGGAACATATAAGTGGACTTATGAGTGGGCCTTGTGGGCATACTCACCGTCAGGCCCTGGGGCCCAGACCTTGAGCTGTGTAAGGGGCCCCAAAAAAATGGAGCTGCTTCCAATTCTCCCAGAACATTGAATTTTGTGACCACAGTTGCAAACAGCCTCCAGAGACCCTGTTCTACACCAGACCAGTGGAGCCAAACTGCAGCCCATCATCATCCTCATCTGCTTGTAAGTAGGCAATCTAGTACCGGTATATTATTAGTGACACTAATCTATAATTTACCTCACATTAAAGGGACACTATAGCTTAATGAAGTGGTTCTGGTGTCTATAGCTGGTCCCTGCAGGCTTTTTAATGTAAACACACACTGTGTGCAGCACTGGCGTTAGTTCATATGGGTGGGGCATTGTGATGTCACATGGGGGGCAGCAAATTTTTATTTTGTCTAGGGCGGCAAAAATCCTTGCACCGGCTCTGATCCTGGGCAGGTGCACCAGTCTACTGGTGACCCACAGGAGGGGAGTGCACTGATTGCACTGCACTCTCCTCCTGCCCAGCCCCATCTTTACCGCAGTGCAAGTGCCCTCTGCCCCTAATTTACAGTGGCTCACACTCACAACAAGCAGTGCCTGGAGCCGTGAAGGAGCGGGTATGGCAAAGGGCTACTGATTAGCATAACATCACTATCCGTTATAAAACCAGGAAAAGGTGGGCATGGATGGTGAACTGATTTGGTGGTGCAATGGGCCACTTGACTGGTTTTGCCCCCCAGGCCTAAGGCTGCCAGCCCTCCCCTGGTTAGGATCCATACAGGTTACGGTACTTTTGGGCTTCATTGGGTACCTACATGTTTGTTCAAAGTACATTTCATTGGCTAACCAACCCGTTCGATTCTGTTTTTCTCTCGTTTCAGTTTACAGCCCATCAACACTATCTGGTCCAACAGTTCTTCTCGGATGGTGGACATTGTCGTACTCATTATATCTAGGACTTCGTTTCTTCCCCATTATTTTCTGACTTTTGTTATGTACTGTCGCAGCTTGAAGGAGGAAATTATGTATGGGGAGTTTTATAGTACCTAACTTTTTCTGACTGGTTGTTTTTCTGTGCTGCTGTGGAGTTCTAGTAAAGAGAGACTTAAGCAAATACTCACCTCCTGTCATTAATAAAATTAAGATTTTAGGTACACTAAAGCTAGCATAATCTACAATTGTATCTCTGTATTATAGCTCTGTAAATTGAGCTTTAATCACATACAGGAGGCTCTTGCAAGGGATAAGAAAATCTTAATTAAACAGAACTTGCAATAAAGGAAGGATAAACTTTAGATGACTCTTTACAGGAAGTGTTTATGAAGGCTGTGCAAGTCACGTGCAGGGAGGTGTGACTAGGGTTCAGAAACAAAGTGATATAACTTCTAAATAGCAGAGAATCAAGCAGTAAAACTGCAGGGACATGATTTATACACCAAAACTGCTTCATTAAGCTAAAGTTGTTTTGGTTACTATAGTGTCCCTTTAATAAAAAGATCATATGGTCAACCTCGTAAACTAGAAATATGGTTTATTGTAAAAAAATAAAATTAAAAAAAAAGGATGATCTGGTATTCAGAAGAATTGTAAGAGTTAGCCATATGTTTTACTACCACTGACTCACCCTACTTTAAAAATTATTCTGCAGATAGGGGTTTTGTACTGTATATACTTTATACTTTATAATGTACCCCTTTAAACTGTTTTTATTTTTCAGCAAACAATTCAAAACATTTTCCCATGAAGATTAAAATCTCTTGCGGAACCTTTCCTGTAAATTTAAATTATGTTTTCTCTTCGTTAAGAATGAAAATATCTTTAAGACAACATCCTGACAAGTGTGTTTAGTTCTCTAATTAACCACAGTGTTTTGAAAGCCACCAATAAGACAAAATTAACTTTCAATTTTATACATTATTCATAGGCATTCGCAGGCGGCTGTAAGCTTCCAGGCAGATCTGAATTTTAGTTTATTTTTATTATTTTTTTTTAATTTTTTTTTTAAATGTTGGGAAACAGACTGGCAAATGTAAATATGATCAGGACGGTTGTGTATTTTCCAGCATTGACCAGAGGTGATAAAATTATATCTGTTATCCCGGTCATATTAGAGAATCTGCGCAAACCGTACCTGTGCTGGGTTACATTGAATGAAACTTGTCATCACTGGAAACCTAGAACTGCGTTGGATGTCTACAAATAAAAAGAAAAACTTAATTTTACCATATAGATTGTAAGCTCTGTGGAGCAAAGCCTACAGCAGTTTGTAACTTTACTCTATGTCACAGCCTTGAATACAATTACAGTTTAATATTATATTATATGTCAGGACTCAAAATTGCCACTTGCCCCTAGCCAAATTGAATCAATACATCCATATGGCGAGTGTTCAGCATCACATTGCTGACTATAGATTGTGCAATCTATGCCAGACCTCGTCCAGGAGGTCCCTCTAGTGGCTGTCTGAGTGATATCCACAGGAGGTGGCCGTAGCCAGCAATGTAAACACTACCTTTTCTCTGAAAAGGCAATGTTTTCATTGCTAGACTGCAGGGTCAGGCTATTTGGCAAGAACATAGCTATTTTAAATTTTCAGCTATTCTGCCCAAGAAGTGAATTTTTTTGTTAAATTCTTTACAGTCCCCATTTTTCTTCTGATTATCGCCTATCCTCAGTAACAGCCAGCCTTCTCAATTCTTCAACCATTAAAGGTACACTATAGGCACCAAAACAGCTTAAGGGAAGCAATTTTGCTGTATGGACCACACCCCTGCCCTGCAGTCTCACTGCTTAATTAGAAGTTAAATTACTTTGTTTATACAGCCCTAGCAGGGACAAACCTAATTTTGTTAGTTTATTCATTTGTTTTCAGACAAAATTTAGTTATTATTGTAGAGAGTGGGATAGGGACAGTATGGGGGTATAAACAGTAGTTAGTGAATAGAGGCTGTAGTGGCAGGTTAGGAGCTGAAGTGGGGGTTAGAAGATGTAATGTGGGGATAAGGGACTGCCGTAGGGGATAGGGGCAGTCGTGGGGGATTTGAGTCTTAAATGTGGGGTTAGGAGCAGAATTGGGGGCTAGAGATTGAAATGGGGGGTTAGGACCTGTAGTGAGACTTTAAGGGCAGTAGTGTGAGTTAGGGCTAGTAGTGGAGAGTTAGAAGCTGAAGTAAAGGGTTAGGACCTTAGTGGGGGGTTAGGGGCAGTAGAGGGATTATGGGTCTGTAGTGGGGGATTAGGACTTGTAGTGGATAATTAGGGGCGGTGAGATGGTTAGGGGCAGCAGTGGTGTTTAGGGGCAGTTGTGTGGGGATAGGGGAGGTAGTGGAGTAGATAATGGGCTAAGACGAAAGTTACAAAAAAGTAAGGATGTGCATGGGCCAAAAATTCAGTTCGGTTCATTTTGGAAATTCGGGTAAGTAAAATGTGTCTGCTTCGACAATTCGGACCAATGGCATTCGGTTCGGCACATCAGAACTTTGGCGCTTTGGACATTCGTAAGCATCAGAATGTCCAATTGGCATGAAATTTGTATGAATGTACATTCGGAACGAAACACATTGCACATGTCTACTTTATATATCCTATATAATAATTGGCTAAGGATGTTTGTCCGATGCAGTCATGCGCAGTAGAGGCAGCGCAAGACTGCATGGGAGAAACATTGCATGCCAAGCAGCGAGGGAACAAAGTACATACTGTGCTCTTGCAGCACAGCTCCCTCGCACGTCCTTCAGGGTCCGCTGGCAGCCGCGATGTGACAGGTACAGGATATGACGTCATTGCACAAAAGGAATTAGCTTATTGGTCAAGATTCCTATCATCATTCATGTAATTTTCCCTCCCTCTCTCTTGTTTTGCCACTTTTCAGAAATCCGAATCACTTCGGCGCTTCGGGAGTTTGGCACTTCGGACATTAGTAAGCATCTGAATGGCATGAAATTCGTACGAATGTACATTCGGAACGACACATGTCTACAAAAAAGAAATACAAACATTTTTAATTACATTGAAAAAGAAAGACATAACATTTCTTTCCCCCTCCCTGAGGCTTAACTTTGGCCAGGTACGTGGGAATCCTGATCCCTGGTGATTCAGTAGTAAAAAAGCAGCATGTCTGCACCAGCAGTGGGTGCCGACAGCTCCTTCTGGCCACCGGTGGGAAATGCATCAGACCCACAGCAACGCTCAAAAACAATAGAAGGAGCAGAGAACTTTGCATGGACGTACAGGCCAACTTCTCCCTCTACTCCTCAGCATCAGGGGCTGGACTGGGACAGTGGGCACTGGCCAGTGGCTTCTGGGAGTGTGACACAGCGCCTAGACTGGGACTGTGGCCAGTGGCTTCTGGGAGTGTGACACAGCGCCTAAACTGGGACTGTGGCCAGTGGCTTCTGGGAATGTGACACTGCGCCTGTCAGCAAGACCTTTTGATCTCAGTAGCTGGCACTCTGACTGCACTAGGGTCAGAGTGCATCACACTCTGTGCACATGCCCTACAAGTGGGGTACATTAAAATAAACAGGGAATCTAGTGTCCACCCAGCCACCACCCGTTAATAGTGAACGGGGTCCTTAAAAACAAGGTGGATGGACCTACCTATTGTCCCTATTGTAATTTAGTGACTAACATTTTGGCTCGAAATAACTGGTTTGAAAGCATGTCTTGAAGAATTTTTGCAATTCACCTATTTTGGCCCAGAAATTTTAAATAGATTTTGAATTCCCAACACTGTATTGAATATCTACACAAGGCACTCGGGGGGTTTGTCCACTAAAGTGAGAATTCCAAGTAAATTTAAAATGTAAGACCGAAGGAGCCGAACTGCATAGCTGACAGAATTTTTTCAGATCGGCTATTTTGACCTTATTTCTGATATTAACTTGGAAGTCTCACTTTTAGTAACCTTGATTGTGTTGGAATTTTCCAAGCCTTTCTGAACTCATACATACAACACATCCCATTTAAACCCACAAATCATTCCATCTCACGCAAGCCGTGTGAAGGTGCCATTAATGATACAGTAACATTGGTGATTAAAGATCCGTCAGACTATCATGCAACCTGGGATGTAGATATCAAATATTCAACACAAGTCTAAAAAATAAAATGGGTTACTTGTTTTTTATTTTTATTTATTTATTTTGGAGACAAGGCACTAAATAAAAAAAAAAAAAAAACTTTTCCCCCCTCTCGATTTATGACAGTGTAGCATTCATTAAGATTACCATAAGCGCAGATCAGCATTTTTCCACCGGTGAAATGCTACTACATGCAAATTAAACTAAAACATTATAGGAGGCAGAGAGAATTTGATGATTGTTAAAGTTTGTGACAGACAATAAGCCAGCATATGGGATAAGCAGGTATACCAAATATTTAACATGTTTGGTTCCACGTTACCCAAAGTTCGTCATCGTGGTTTCCGCCTGGCTAGTGCATTACATTGCATCATTTCTGGGCGTTGATGCTTCCCATAGGTCCTTACGGATACACCCCATGCGCCAGTAAGTTTGTACTGAACGTGTAGCTCAGAGATGGCAAACTGCCAAAATAAAGATACTTTTTAACAGGATTTTCTGAGATAAGTGATCAGCAGAGCAGGATTAATCATAAGGCATCCTTAGGTAGCAGCCTATGGTCCATGGGGTTAGACAAGGGCCCAGCAACCATGAACTTGCTTGCAACCTTAACCATCCCTATGTGAAGAATGAAAGGGGGGCCCCAAACTGGCAATCTACCAAGGGCCCCCGTGGCATCTTAATCCCTCTCTCTTAATGAACTTGAGATATGGTCAGAAAACATTGTTTAATTATGCATTTATTTCATTGAGGGTATATCTGAAAACTGCTTGCAAAAGCTGCAGATCTCGTCTGTAGCCTTTGCAAGCCCTCTCCTAACCCCGCCTGGACTTTCTGTGGCTGTCCAATCACAAACTTCCCAATGCAGCTCAATGAGAAGTCTTTGCAAGACAGGTACCCCACTTGTAGGGCATGTGCTCAAGCTGCCTCTTGAGTTTATCTCCATTAAGCTAACCAAACCAGGAAGTAACAAGGCTGGTTGTCTGATTGACAGACAGAGGGGTGTAACCAGGTTAATTTGTAAAAGTGTCAATCACTATTGAAAAAGACACTTTTTGTAAAATGAAATAAAGAGGATATACTCTTCACACATAAGTGCTTTAGGAGTCTGGACTGTGCCTTTAATGAAAGATCCTGTAGTGAGTGTATCTGGGAAGGGACACCAGGGTTGGGATGGAGAGGCTGATTCGGATATTCACTAAGGCAAAAACCTACTTTAATAAAGTTCTGATGTATATTATAAAAGGTCACTATTATTGCACAAAACAGCACTACTCCCTTACACGAACGTTGACATTGCAAGATTGGGAGGGTGTTACATAATTACTGTGTGCAGGGATTATATTTTACAGAACAGATGCAAACCATTGCCAGTGCGAACCTTGGACCTCAGATGCACCTGGACTCAATTGTCCCACTCTTTCCTCGTAGCACGCAGAGCGTCTTGGAAAATGTTGTTCAGAACCCCCTCTTCCCCCCCTCCCCAAAAAAAACAAACCAGGGTATTAAGTTAAGCCATCACTGCTTTGCACTTTGACAATATCTCAACAAATGATACAGGACTCCAGGCATTGACCAGCCACACGGACCACTTTTGAGAACTATTAACCCCTTAAGGACCAAACTTCTGGAATAAAAGGGAATCATGACATGTCACACGTCATGTGTCCTTAAGGGGTTAAATAATGCCCTACAAGTGTCTACTGAAACTTCCCCTTCCATTGCAATATATTGCTTCCATGAAACTATATAAGTATTTATAATCAGCTGTCCAAATCTGTCCCACATCTTCAGCCCACTGAGAAGGTCACCTTGAGAGGGGAGCCTGGCCGGACAACTATACTATAAAGTAGACAGATTAATGACTGGCGTTTTCGCAGGCACATTATACAGACATTAACTTCCTGTTTAGCTGGGAGGGTAGCGTTTCAATTCATGTATAAATGGCTGATATTACTTGGATCAGATTTCACATGAAACAATTAATATTATTCAAATCTGATGTATAGCGGTACAGCTCCCTGGGGAAGTATCACAGAAGAATGTCCATGTATCCCTTGAGTCGATTTGTCCTGGGTAATTCCTACTGAGTTCTCTATATAGTTTCCATTTAAAGATCTACTCTGATTGGTTGGTGCCCTTGGCTGCAACCTTTTTAGTGAGGTTTAAAAAAGTTCCACTGACCAATCAAGGTGCATCTTCAATGGACACAGACTGAAGTTTTTTTCTTGTTTAGATCTACCGCTTTTATGACAAATATAAACCGTGTAAGCGGTGAGGTTGGCAAATCTGTGTACCATTTTAAAACACACATTTTCTTCTCTTCGTAAAGATGGCCAGCATTAAAAAAATATTGCATTTACCAGAGTGGTGGCGTCAACAAACAAATGCATTGCGTGGGAGTTCCCTCACACGGGGAAAAAATTTAAAACAAACGCAAGTAGCTGTACTAGACTGATGGCTTGCATGGAGAGATTGCAAGGGGAGACATCCAGAGCAACCTGTCTGCTGGTTCATATGGAGACAATACCAGTGGCTCAATTGAGGGCTTTTCAAGATATCATCAAAAATGTAAGAAAGGCATTTTTTA